AACCTCAAAAGCGTCTAGATGTGATTCACGCAGCTAAATCCCTTGCAAAATCCAGCTTGTTTTAAAGGTTGGACATCATCCGGTATCCATTATGTGAGTGAAAATTATCCTCGTGAAGAGCTTGTAAAGTACGCTCAGGAGGCAATTATTGGACGGTAGTTTCAAATATCCTCCCTGTCGCCCTTCTTATGAAGAAGAATTGTTCGGTAAGTTCTTCACTGGGTCCTTTCCTTTGAAGGCAAGACGTTAGATGTGCACAAGTATCTTCTGTACGCGACGTGCTTTAGCTGGTAAGAGGTCGGCAAAGTGGTCCGGTCCCGGAGTGTGGCTGCCTTCATGGCCTGAATTGCGCACGTACTTCAGCAGTTAGAATCCACGGTGTATTTCTTCAATAGAGATAGCGAAGCATAGATGTAATGACTGGAAGATTTTATTGTAGAAGCGCTTTGTGATTGGCTCCATCTTCTGTCGGGAAAATTTGCGAGTCCCGTCTTCGTTCAAGAATGTTTTCAGCGGAATAGGAAGATCCTGGCGGTACTTCTTTACATTTTTCCTTGTGCTACTTCCAAAGGCTTCGATTGCCTCTACTTTCAAAGATATTCTTGCAAAGTTGTTATGCAACTAGAATTGACTATCACTCGTTCGAGATGTGATGCAGTCAGATCCAGCCTTAGTGCTCTCCTCTTCTCAAGTACGTTCTTGGTGGTTTTCCAAGTACGTTCCAAGTTCCTTGTTCAAGCCATTAAGGTACTTTCACAAGCTCTCAGTCCTCTGAGAAGCAGGTGAGTTTTTCGTTGGTTCCCCTTCGAGGGGCCAGTCACAAGTGATCAGGAGCTTCTTCAATCCGACGTCATCATATACGACTTCTCTCCTTCCTCCAACACAGTGACAGATCCTCTTTTCCAGTTTTTGGCTGAATCGTACCTTTGCTTAAACGAGACGGTGATCCGAAACACTGCTGAAGGATGGTACCACTGAAACGTCCAATAAGCACCACTTTTGGTTGGTGGGTCGATCCCCGCATGAGTTGTAATCTTGGCGACTCTCATGTTCAGCATCGGTGTTTTATGAAGAATTCGCGCGGTGAATAAGAGCCCGCCAAGAAGGTTACCATTTTCATTCCGAAGTCCTAATCCAGCCCCGGTCTTATGCTTCCCTTCTTCTGGCATCTCGATTTTCTCATTGAGTTCACCCACGATGAATTTATGAGAGTTTTTTTTGAGAATGACATTCTCCAATTCCTCAAAAAGCATCCGGTTCCAAGTCATTAGCTGCTGATGTTGGAGAATAGCAGTTGCTGATAGTGATGGTTTCTAATGCAGAGGACGAAGTCGACGGATAGGCAGGCGAGATGATAGGAACTCATAATCGACAAGATGGACATCAGATGGTTATACGACATTCAACGCCTCCAACGTTCCGTGGTAGAACTTTTCCACCACAAGTGATGAGTGACATCAGACACCTGCAGCACGTCCGTCTCTGGACTTTGTTTCATGCAGGGAGCTTACATGGTAGTCGATGCGCCCAGCAGCTTCGAGAAAGACGTGCAGATCGGCGTTGGCGTTGTGAGTGCGGAGCATGAGACAGTCTCCAAGAGAACCATGGCGTCCTGTGCCAACTAAATGAATTAAAAGACGACTGACCGCTTCTAAAAGGTTCTGCAAAATCAAAAAATTGCACAATTTGCATGGGCGTCTCACTGATTTCTTGTCCTTTTCGTTTTGGTTTCTAAAACAATTGCTATTGAGAAAAGAAATCTAAGTCTGGGATCATGGGACAAATATCGCTCGACGTTCACAAAGTAGAGGTCGTACTGCTTAGGGAGACGTAAAAAAAATTGCTTTCAAATTCCAACTAGGATTGTAGTAGCAATTTTTTGATGTTAATGGAAGTGCACGGGATCAAGCAACTGGTATTAAGTTAGGGAGGCAGGCTTTCCTAGTTTGAAAACTGGCACGTAGCAAAAGCTTGTTTCATGAATTTAGTATCGTTGGAAAATTACCTTACTCTTTCGAAACATGCTGTCGATAATCTATATTAACAAATTTCCTCATACTTCAACGCACATAATGGTCCGAACAATGTTTGTATTACCCGGATAAGTCAATGCAATGCTAAAACAAATAGACTGAACTTGTTCAGGTTTAGGAATCAGAAGTCATGATGGAAAGTAGGCAATTTCTAAATTTGCTGATCGAAGAAATAAACATATTTCATTCTCTTCTAGAAGTAAGTAAATGGAAACGGTAAGATCCAGTTTAAACAATAATATCAAAGCTAATTTCACTAAGTTGCATAAACAACAGTTGCTGCATTTTTGCATCAGTTTTGACTTTACCCAAATTTTGTGACATCACTGAGGCTAGGCTGCATAAAAGGCGACAACGTCTCAGAAAATGACCCCAACAAGGGAAGAATACTCAAACAAAAGCGGATCAGGAAAGGATAACCTGGTAGATGCAGCTTGAAACGCTTTTTTTAAATCTGTCCTCATATCCGGTAACCGTATCTTTCGAAGATGTTATGAAAGTTTTTTGTCGAAAGAGCCTACAGCGTAATAGCGTTGCTCTTACTTAAATTCAACTTCTGAGTCAAACAAACAAAGTATTTTTCTGATAAAGCTTTGATACATAATATCAGGTATCCAACTTTTGCTGCTGCTTAGGATCGAAGTTCAACGCCTGACATTTCTTGCACGTTTGGTGAACCATTTTGACTCAAAACTTCTCTCAAATAATTATTTTTTAACATAAAAGCAAATGTGGAATTGGCCTTTCGGGCTGCATTTGTCAAAATACATCGCTTTTTGAATTGCCACTTCGAGCAAGTGTTCTACCTTTATGAGATCAACCTAAAAATCGAACAACATCTCAAAAAAAGGATCATTTTCAATGATTTCAAGAAAAAATTTTCAGGCAAATAAATATG